TCTCCACCCCGCACAACATGATCCACTTGACCACCATTATGGTTACCGCAAAAAAAAAAACACGGATAAAAAAAAAAAACGGTAACCTGGTTGCGGAGCTGACGAATTGAATTGGCTTGTTTTACAACGTCGTTGCCAAGCAACGAAAACCCAACCCCGATGGTAAATACCGGGGGGGATTCGGGCGGCTTTTTTACACCGTCGTTGCCAAGCGACGAAAACCCAACCCCGATGGTAAACACCGGGGGGGGCGGCGGCTTGTTTTACAACGTCGTTGCCAAGCGACGAAAACCCAATCCCGATGGCAAACACCGGGGGGGGCGGCTTGTTTTACAACGTCGTTGCCAAGCGACGAAAACCCAACCCCGATGGCAAACACCGGGGTGTGTGTGTGTGTGTGGCTCAACAAAGGAGCTGCGTTGGAATATTGAGAGCTCGGAACGCAGCAACGGCAGGGCAGACGGCGGAGTCGGTTCACACATCAACGGGGGAAGTGACCACTCGAGCCGTCAAGAAACATTCGTGATCGGTGCGACGAGAATCCTCAACAGGGGTGGGCAGTTGGCATGGGCGACTAACCATCCGCCGAGCGCATCACATTCTTGTCCAATACACCAAATAGGCGAGAGCTGCAACAAGACTTTCGTCCGACACCAAAAATGGAAACAAAACGATCTGCATATAAATGATCGATCGCCTCTTGAGGCGGCCTGCAGCACCCGTCGAGACTAGCGGAAACGCCAGCGTTCGGTGCCGGCTCACCTCAGGTGACGTCTCCCCTCGCAGATGTCGTTGTGGCCCCTGTCCGGCACCCACCAGGGACGTCTCCTCAACGGCTCGGGGACAGCCTCGAATATCCCCTTGCCGTGCTCCCACGGCACCTGAGGCGCAGTAACAAAACACGAGGGACGGTACGTCGTGCATCAGTCACATACGGACGATTTAGCCCCTGCTATTGTTCATTTTCATCACTTTGGATCAGCGGTCACACCGTAGCTCGCTCTCCAGTGGTTTCGAACTATTAATACCTGCCTTGGACCACTGGCCTGCCTTCCATCATGGGAGACACGGTACAGGATGACTCCACGTGTACCCACCCGTAGAAGCACGCTCGACACGGTTTGTTACAAAATAAAACGACCCGGCCAACGACCACCGTTCCAAAACTACAACAGAGAGAGCGCGAGACCGACCAACCACCCCTGCCGTTGCCGCTACGTACGTTTTGTATTCCGTACGTCTCCCTCCCCCCCCCCTAACAAAACCAAAACAAACAGCAGCAATATCAAAATAAAATACTGGTACACACTTCATTTGCCCTTCGATCGACTTGTGTCGTACCCTGTGTCCTCACGAGGGCAACGAAACGGGCAAGGGCAAAAGGCCAGAGGCCGCACCCACCACCCATCACCCACCTCTTCGTCCCTCGCGCCGTGCATCACCATCACCGGGCAAGTTATTCGAGACGCCCTGTCCACGTTCGGGTAGATGTCCAGGCACGAGAGCGCTCGGCTCTCCGTCAGGACGCGCATGCCGCTCAGGATGGGGCTGTGCAGCACCACGCCTGGTTGCCCGAAAGAGGAAGATGATATGTCGAGAGAGTGACAACAAGAGGAACAAACTGGTCATCAACGCAAGAAGTGTCATCTGCGCAGCACCAGTTATCCTCCTTCTGTGTTGGTTTCCTTCTGGGAAGCGACGAAACAAAACAAAAGGAGATGGATGCACCGTGAAGCATATGGTGGAGTTAGTCCGAAGACGAACAACACCATGCGCGACAGCAGCGGACAAGCTGTACAACAACAAAAGAAATAGCTAGCACAAGGACGGACGAGACCAACAAAAAACGCCACTGAATGTGCTGGAAGAGCAGGTCGGTCTCCATAGCAGCAGCAGTAAAACAGCAGAAAAATTGGGAAGCCATTTGGGGGGGGGGAGCGACTTGCAGCTGCATCAAGCTGTGTGCGTGGCGCAAATAATCTGGAGATAAGGGGGCGCGGGGCGGGGGAGGGGGGGAGGCATGTTCTTGTTCGTCTGCCCCTGCCGCGTCATGTACATCAACGCATGCTCCGCATGACAGACACGTCAGTAGTAGTTGAGTAGGGGAGGCGAGCCTTGCGATCAAACCCAGCGCTGGAATATCGAGTGCATCTCCTCGTTTACGGAACGCTTCCACCATCCCTTCTCTCTCTCGATACAACGTCAAACAGAAGAAATGAACACACACAACTGACGCCAACTTCATTGGCCAGCCCGATAGTGCCGTCCATGATAATTGAAGCGACATACACTCACACCATAACGCGCTGGCACTGGCGTCGTTCGATTGTCCAGCCGATGGGCGCGGAAGACACAAATAACGAACAATCAACACACACACTTTGTACAGCAGCATACACTTGTCGCCCCACGCCTGCGCTCCCCCTGATGATAGCGGACCCTTGGTCCTGAAAGCGCTTTCTTTATCGCGCTGCAAAACATTGACGACGTCTTTTCATTGTCAGCCGAGAAATACTCCCACTTCCCAGTACTCCACCTACTAGCAATCCCCCATCCCGAAATGATAACCATCATGTACTTGCAGTATAACCCTTCTCACCAACCTTCGGGAAACAAAAGGGACGGTGGTCGGGGAAAATTTTCAACAGTGCTGCCAACCGCCTGTAGATCAGAGCTGTGGTGGAAGATGGGTTTGGAGTCGTCAATCTCTGCTACTCGCGCGGCGATCAGCGAGCCTGTGCGCTTGCCTCCAGGATGGTCTACCCCTCGTGTGCTGCAGGCGGCCCCAACGAATGTCAAACAATAAGTAATGACATATCTACAACAGTATTCTCTGTGTGCCTCCCCATGGTCGCGCTGGCCACCAAGGTCTGCCGTTTGCACATCCACTGTTGTTCACATGTTGGTCTCCATGATCTGCGATCTCGTGCTCTTGCAAGATTGCGGCTGTGCGACAGCGTCCTCCCTCGCTTGCGATCTTTTTCATGGATCTACCGTTCTGCTGACTTATACTTCTCGCACGACTCACAAATCCCGTTTTACTGCTTGGCCTCAGCTTCGCGTTAAGAATCTCCTGATTTGCGACATGTTTCCGAAATGCCTTGTATTATCATTCAAGCTGGTGATCAGAAGAGAAATTCCAACGGCAACAACGTGAAACCAGAGCGGAGCTCCCGCCCGGTCCGATGCCTATCGTGCGTCTGCTCGCGCCAGAATTTCTATCCTACACTACTTGTTGAAGTGGACAAGGTGGAGCCGATCCAGGATGGCCCCAAGACCCCAACAGTGCGTACCGTAGAAATACTCACACCTCGCGGGGCAGGTCCTACGGTTCCGCTGTTCCATTCCATCTAGTCCCTTGACCAGGTTGCGCTTGCGAGCGCTTCCCGGCTTCGGTTAAGTTACGTGATACCACCGCCGAGTCTTCGATGTTACTGCAGGTGTACACCGTGTACGTGTCTATACCCGACTTCCCCCTGCCCTCCCTTGGATAACCCGTTCCGAAATCTCTCCTCCGGCTGCAAGTACAGTGGCAGCTCCTATGCGCGAAGAATGCAGTGACGCGCGTTTGGGACCCATCCCAGCTCTCTCGGCAATCTGGCGAATGGCCCTTGTCGCCTGTCGATAATTCCACACGTCTGCTACTGTAGCACGTTCGATGCTGATTTCAAACACACACACACAAACACACACATATCAAGCCCACACGGCACAAAGGCAGACGTTTGCGTCCCTCTCACCCGCAAAGGAGCCCTTGGACTTGTCTGAGGCCAGGTAGCAGGTGGGGCCGCTTCCGACGCTCTGGCCGTACAGGATCAAACCATGCCCCTGAGATGGGAGGGAGGGAAGAAAGTTTTTTCCATTTCGGAAATTTCGCCACAAGAACAAACGTCATCAGGCAGGGGGCATGCATGCAATCCAAAGCATGCTCGCGCGCCAGGGAGGAGCGTGTGCGGTTAGGCCATTGACCACGCCGCGTCCTCGAAACGACGGATAATTGGGATAATTGTTCCCAAAGGACCGATCGCCGACGGCCAATCGTTCCTGCCGAGTTGGCCAAAGCTGGCCTGGGGGTGGGGGTGGGGGGTGGGGGGCGTGTACTCATAGTCGTGCATGCCGTAGTCGTTAGACCATTGACCTCGCATCCCTACAAAGCCGGGACGGAGCACGCCGGGTTCTCACCGGACCAGGCTCTCACATCACCA